ATTCACACCATATCACTAAGACACCGTTTCTGTGCGTTTAGTGCATGCTCTTGCACAACACAATGCAGCACAATCTGGATGTGTTGCCATTTATTCTGATCGGCACCCCAATGCACCTCCTCTCTGTGTGTTGCAGCTCATGGTCATGCAATGGTGTACATTGTGCTGCTGTGCGTTGAGAAAAAAGTAGAGCAAACACTATTAGCCTGTCTTGTAGTGGAGCTTTTTGTTTTTGCTAGGGGTATGGTGTAAAGCACTTTTACTTGCCTGATCCCCACTTCCCGGCAGTCCTCACTCCCCCTCTCCCGTCTGCCCAGGCTTGTAGACTGACGCTCACCGTCCTCAGGTATACTGAAGGGCTTTGGACCCCACATTAGATTTAATGATTTTAGCAGGACTCCAACTGCCAGAGTGGAGGGGAAGGCAGCGGGAGTGCAGGCAGGCCCGGATTTCCCAAAAGGCCACTGAGGCCCGGCGGCAGAGCGCAAAGGGGCGGCAGCGGTGACCTTGTGGGGAAGTTGCGGGCGCCGGTGAAATAAGAAGAAATAATTGAATTAAAAAATGAAAAGTGATAAAAAATAAAGAAACAGTAAAAAAAAAAAATTGAAACTAGCCCCGCCCAAGGCCAGGTTCCACAATACGCCCTGCCATCTGGTTGCCATTCTCAATTGATGGGGAGGGGGGGTTGGCGGCGCGGGGGGGCGTATTGTGGAACCTGGCCCTGGGGCGGCAGGGGGAGTAAATCCGGCCCTGAGTGCAGGTCACGTAAGTAAAAGCGCTTCAGGGCAAATTCACACCAGCACCCACGCTAAACTGCATAGCTGCTAGCGTGCGTCTGCCCCGACAGTGCCGATGTCCGGTTTCTTTTTCTTTGGAGAACTTTACTAAAATTTCACAAGTGAGATTTCTTTAAGTTCTATGGGCTCATTGCAGTGCAATGTGACTATAATGTGTCTCTGCCTACTTTTTTTTTAAGCGCACACCACCAGCACGCAGTGCTGTGAATCAAGCCTTGTCTTGTATTTGGGCTGTGCTGGAAAAGACCGGCCCTCATGCTGGCCATACACCAGTAGAGTTTTGTCCATAACAAATTGTCTTATTATCTGTAAAAAATAAGTCAAGGCAACTGGACTTGCTGTATTTTTCTTGAAGTTGCCTTGACTTATTTTTTACAGATATATTATGACCTGGATGAATGAGAACTTTCACAGACAAATTGTCCTATTGGAATGATTGGAGTTTCTGGAACGAAAAACACATTTGCTATTAGAATTTCGTTTGTTCAAGAAACTCCATTAATTCCAAAATTGAATGTTAAAATCAAATGGAATTTCAAATGACATTCTTGAAGTCTCTGATGGCATTATCGAATGTTCTGATGAGATACCCCATGCGAAAATCTAGCAGTGAATATCCAGTTCATCACAGCTACACTAGACATACAGCAAATGAGCAATTAACCCTTCCAGTGCAGGGCTAGTCCCCCCCCAAAAAAAGAGGCTTTATGGGTTAATATTTTATTGCACAAATGAGAAAACCTTTCCATGGCATCTGCACACTCTCTACACTGACTTTTCTAACAGCAGGCTCCCAGCCATCACTTACTTTGGCTGCAAAAGCAAGCATTAGAAGGGCAGCCGAACAACTTCTTAAACCCATGACTCTGTAAACTAACAAAGGCTTCCAGAGAAAAGTTCCCAAACAAGGGAGGCTGAGATCAGAGTGAGCCCATAGGTCCAGTACAGCCCTACATGGAGAAGGAGCTCATTATCAGGATGGCTGAGCACTAAATCAGCGCAGAGGGGTCCCGGCTACGACTTCCACTAGAAGGCTGCTAATCTCGGAGATATGACGTCATGTGGACCTCAGTGGGAGGAGGAGGTGTGGAAAGGAAGGATGAAGCTCTGCACGGGTCTACAGGGAAAGAAAGGGAGGTTCGCACTTCTCCCCGATCACATCGGTGCTGAGGAATCTGCCTGGGATCGGTGCTGAGGAATCTGGGACCGGCGATCTCCTCCTCCTCTACAGTCATCGGATTCTCCCAGGCTCAGGGCTCGCAGTGTCCCAGGACTCCCGTTGGAAGTTGGAAATGATGTGGCGGTCAGAGAAGGCTGCTGCTGGACCCCGGCTATGGACAGTGTTCTTTATAAGCATCATTGGATGTCTGCTGGTAGAAGGCACCCCCCAGCTCACCTACCACCGTCCTGCACAGAGGGGCAAGTAAGTGTCATTAGGAGGCTTCACTGCTGGCAGTCCGGGGCTACATTGTTCCAAACTACATCCACATGTAGCTTTGGAGGGCGAACCATGCGAGCTGGATATTAGGTGATCAGAGCATTGAGCTGGTTCAGGCTGCAATCACACTGAGCACAATGGGGGGGATTTGTCAAGACTGAAGCACACACAATCTGGAGAAGTTACCCAGGGCCACAAATCAGCTTCTATCATTATTAAAGCTTAACTAAACAAACTAAAGAGAGAAGCTGATTGGTTACTAAGGGCAACTGCTCCAGATTCTGTCTTTTCCTCAATGTATTCCAGGCGTTTTAAGGCTTTTAAAAAGCTTTTAGCATCTGTATTTAAGTGACACTAAACTCAGGAATTACATTTTAAAAATACATTCAAATACCCTGACTATAAACAAACTGTATCTTATTTGTGTATTACTCGGATGTAGATCCTCAAATCATCTCTGAATTCATACTGTCACTGACCTTCCTTCTGGAGGGTGGCTACTTTTGTTCCCCATGGTCCCTGTGTGTGTGTGTGTGTGTGTGTGTGTGTGTGTGTGTGTGTAAAGTAGCCATCACTCCAAGCTTACTCCTGGGATGGACTACAATCTCAATACAAATTAGTAAACTAAACCTGAGATTGTAGTCCATCACAGGGGTGATTTTGGAGTGGTGGATACCCCCATGATGGACTGCAAACTCATGTTTAGTTTAATATTTTGTATTGAGATTGTAGTTCATCACAGGGGTGATTTTGGAGTGGTGGATACCCCCATGATGGACTGCAAACTCATGTTTAGTTTAATATTTTGTATTGAGATTGTAGTTCATCACAGGGGTGATTTTGGAGTGGTGGATACTCCCATGATGGACTACAAGCTCACGTTTAGTTTACTAATTTGTAGTGAAATTGAAATCCATCAATGGAGTGAGCCTGGAGCGATGGCTACTTTACAACACAGGATGAGGATGTCTCCAGCACACCAGGCACGACAAAAACACATGGGTCAGTGCGAAACCATTTAATGATATGCCACTCGGAAAATCGTAGTCATTTCCAGCACCCGTTTAACCTCTTTGGGATTTCCGGTAAGGAGTGCTACAGGACTTGTGACGTTTGTACTTTACAACACACACAGGGACCATGGGGAACAAAAGTAGCCACCCTCCAGAAGGAAGGACAGTGTCAGCACCAATTCAGAGATGATTTGAGTATCTACAGCCGAGTGATACACAATAAGATACATTTTTGTTAATAGCGTACTTTATGGGGCCAGAAATGCCTGCTCAAAAAAAGCTCATTTACTAATTTGAACGTAGGGCAACTGTGTACAAGTGTGAACAGTGACAATTAGAAATAATGCGATTTTGCATGTTAATTGTAGTCAGACACAGCTGAAAATTGCTCAGGTGTGAATGGGGGGATAAGGTTTCATCTTAAGCTGGCCATACACCAGTGAAATGTCATTCGAAAACTTTGATTTTTCAGAATGGTTGTTTTTTTTTTGTTATGGTTATTGGGGGCTATTCAATGTCCGTTGTCCATTGTAGTGATGAGGAAAATTTAAAGGCGCAGATGGAATTTTTTTCCCATTTTCTTATCTGAACCAACAAAATCCTAACCATGAATCTGATTTTCATTTTGGGAAATATCTTGCATATTGTAATGCCCATGTGCTAAGCACAAATGAAACCTGTTTGATACATTTGGGATTCAATTCAGATAGCAGGTCTGGATAACATTTTTAAGGGCTTTAAAACTAAATTAGATGACTCAATGATGGCAAGATTGAATCTTCTGATGAAGGATTTCAAATGAATGTTTGAACAGTGTATGACCAGCTTTATTTTAGTATAGTTGGTAACTGAGGACCGTATGTGTATTGGTGATAGTGGTATCAGCTCAGTCATAAATGCTTTCTTAATGCTCATTACTATCATCATCATTATTACAATAATGTCAGCTGAGTAGCACTTATCTCAACATTATTTCTTCATATTCTCAAACTTTTGTTATTGCATTTGTTTCTTCAAATAACTTAGTATTCACTGTATAAATAGAGGGATCTCTGTGATTCTGTAGCTGTTTACCTATTGTGTTCTTTTGTTTTACAATAAGTGGTTAGAAGTTCTTTTACTGCACCAACTAAAGAGAAACAAAAGATGTGCTGTAATTTTCCTGTAAATTCCAACCTTTGGGCTAGAAAGTAAAGCAGAACAAATAACAGTATGAGCTTATTTTACATATCAGATTGAGTGCTGTTGAATTGTTCTGTTTCTTGTCCTGGGCATTGATTGATCTGCTTCTTGTGATTTTCCTCCTTTAGGAACTGGTGTGCGTACATCGTGAACAAGAATGTCAGCTGCACAGTCATGGAAGGAACTGAGAGTTTTATCCAGCCTCAGTACAAATGTGCCTGGAATCAGATTCACTGTCAGCCAACATTAGCGTAAGTGATATGGAAGTCACTGTATGGAAAATGTGAAGCTTTGTGATCACTGATGGTTTAGAAAACCTTGCTGTAGTATAATACATTGCAAGGGATTCCACATGGAGTGGAGCTGAAGTGTGTAGTTAAAATCTTTGCAGTCATAATTATGTGTTGATTGCTTCAGAGAAAGTTTATTATTCGCCTTTAAGTATGCCCATAGACAGGCAAATATCTTCTTAAAAATAACAGATGGGGAGATATCTACCCATGCATGGGCAAGTTGTTGAAGCACTGGAACATGATGGGGACCATGATGCATTTGTGATTCTATCTGCCTTCCCTCCACATTGCAAAGTGAATAATTGAGCCCACTTGCAGGGATACTTCCAACAAGTTGGAAAATTTCCCTGTGCAATAATGACTGTCCCCATCCTTTGGAGGTGCTAAATATCACCCCATAGAAGATCAGATCTGGTCTGATGAAATTTCGCATGGTGGTGCTCAATATTTGGAGCATCTTTTGATCAGATACCTACTGGTGGCGGAAAATAAACTCTCCTTCTATAAAAGATTCATTTCAGGTGCTTCCTTCAATAATACTTGTCAACAGTAACAGCAGTGCACATGTGGTAATCCTGACCTTTCACTCTTCTGTGTCGCATAGTAAAGGGGTGGGACCTACTCACAGACAGATGTCTCCTTGTGCAGCAATGAGTCAACCAAAACTATAGAATGGAAGGCCTACTAAACATACCATTTCATTTTTATGCAGTTAGGTATGCTTTGTTCTACATAATTGTTGGTAGATCTATTGTAGTTTCAACACTTAGGTTGCAAGGTTTATAGCTAGCTTTAAGAAGAATAGAGAGACGTGACTATCTCAAACCGTTCTCAAAATCCATAGCTTCTCCTGCTTATATCAGCCTGATTATAGTCAGTCGTATTTTGGCAGTAAGCAGACAGATTTCTAAGAGAGCAGTAGAAGGTTTTGGATCTATCATCTGTGGGAATAATCATGATCTCCTCCCTAGGTGTGATGCAATGCAGAGCACTCACAATGAGAATTCTGTTACCTCTCCTCTATAAAAAAAAAGGGACATTTCTGATGGGTTTTGCAGACATTTTCCACAATATTGGTAAATCTTGGTGTGATAATGAGTGCTTCTGACACTTCAAAGACTCATTATTGGCTGTGGTCCACTCATACATGATTGTTTATAGCAAGTGATGTTTTTGAGTTTGTATTGTAACCTGGGGCTGTGCACGACGGTAGTGGTTACACATCTATATACATGTGGAGATCACTGAAGAGTTGTACTCTGAATTAATAATTCTCTGTGGACTTGTTTCATTTTTACATAACTGTTGCTTCCAATACGAACTAGTTGCTGACTAACGAAAAGGAGGAGTGGATTGAAATCTGCTGTGAGCATTGGCATTGAGAGGCAAAGTGGGCCCTAGTGGAATGCTATCTGGGCCAAATAAATTGTTTGAAAGTTGTCATAAAATGCACATTTAAAAAGGTTCTGTTTTTCTGTCCACACCAGTGTCACAAACTGAGGCTCAGACTAGCAGCCCTTTTGCATTAGTCTGCAGACTAAAAGATGATCTTCAGCCTTAATGGGACTTGACTACAGGTTGTTCAACTGACTTCTTTATCCCTGAAATGATTGCCTATGCATGTCATAATGTCGGGGAGGGTGGCAATCAAGGTCACAAGTACTATGCTACCAGCAACTGTTAAGTTACTACATCCCAGCTTCTTAGATTCTTCTGAATTGTGCCTTGGCCGTAAACACTTATCCTCTGTAACCTTTGCTACCATCATGGTGATAGTCTAGTGCAGTGATGGCGAACCTTGGCACTCCAGCTGTTTTGGAACTACAAGTCCCATGAGACATTGCAAGGCTCTGACAGCCACAGACATAACTCCCAGAGGCAGATGCATGTTGGGATATGTAGTTTTGGCACAGCTGGAGTGCCAAGGTTCGCCACCACTGGTCTAGTGAGTCAGACAGGGTTCTTCAGGAAAAATGGGCCTAAGCACACAAATTTCTTCAGAAGTGTAGGGTCTTCAATAAAGCAGGGTGCTTGTTAGCAATTATCATAATGAAGGTGAAGGCAAGTAACAGAGGCGGGATAGTAAACGTGTGTGTGCTCAGATTATGCTGTTTAGTCAACTGACTCATGAATGGTATTGAGAAAGGGCTTGTTGTTTTTATACCAGCATATTGAATAATGGATATTATTTGTAGATTATAGATTGAAGCTACCTTTTCCTTACCATTAATATGGAGGCACTATCATTTCTGTGGGTTACAGATAAAGTATATTGCCACCACCATTTTTTTATTTTAGTTTCCTATAAGGGATGTCATGCTCAGGACTTTGAATTAGAGAATACATATTACATTCTGTCCATTTTCAATCCCTTTGTTTCCAAAATGCATAAAGAAAATGTGAGCATGATGGGACAGTCTGGCAAGGGCTGATTACATCTTCTGTTTGAACCAAGCAGTGTAGGGATAGCCAGCCAACTATGCATTAACCTACATTCATGCACATTCAAATTCAGTTTCATGTTAATTGGATGACATTGTTACTATTCAGTAGGATTAGCAAGCAGTTCAACAACCAAAATCTTAATTTCTAAGTAGACATGAACTTAATGGAATGACTACATTTAATGAACAGCAACTAAGCCATGTGATCGATCGATGCATGGCAGAATTACAGTCACTGACTATTTTTGTCCATGTCTATATGCTTTTTGTTACAAAGGTTTACATAACTATTTCCAGCTGGTGAAAATTAAAGCCATACAGCATTACTAGATATGATGTTATACATTGTAAGCTTTCCATAAATTTTATGATGATCACCAGGAAATGACATAATGGGTTCTGTATTGACCGTATTTATTTTTTATGAATAGGTTTTTTGGGGGAATTTATAGATTTGTCTTACAAGCTGCCTGGTTTACAAAATGCGAACTGGCATCCAACCAAATTCAAACTTTTCTTTTTTTAATAGCTTTTTAAAAGAGAAGTTGGGAATCTGACTGGCTGTTGTGGGGTGGTACGGAGAGTTCTTTTGGGAGTAACATTGATTAATTAGGACTTTTTCTGATGTGTGTGTATGTGTATGTGTATGTATGTATGTATGTATGTTTGTATATATGTGTGTATATATATATATATATATATATATATATATGTGTGTGTGTGTATGCTGCTGGAACGCAGAGCAGTTGCACACTAAACTTCCCCCTTCATTCTGGGGCGTGGGGAAATGCGAACACAAAAAATAGAGCATGCAGCATTTTTTTTTGCATTCGCAGTGGAGCGGAACGCAGATAATGATTTGCTACACGTCTGATCTCGCTGCGTGTGTGGGGGGGCGTGGCTGTGGTGCCATTGACTTTAATGCACCGCCGTGCCCCCTCCCGCCCTAGAAAGAAGGGGAAAGTTTAGTGAGCGATTGCTGTGCGTTCCAGCAGCTACCGCTCTGGAAAGCACCGCAGTTGGTGTGAACAAGCCCTCAGTCCTGTATCCAATGCTTGCTAGGACAAATATAGAGTGTGGATCCCCTCAGCAGAAACACAAACGGCATTAAAAAAAATTGACAGGCTAACCCTTCACTACTCTATCCTAAGTTTAAAAATGTTTTGGCTTTTAAAAAAATTGGAATCTGCAAAAAGAGCATACACCAATAATAAGATGAACTCCAGGAAAACATTTTTTTTGGGGGGCGGGGGTGACAGCACAAGTCATAAGTTACTTCTAATGATGATTATCTAATGCTTGGATGGCTGATGGTTACTGTACAAACCCTATCTTCATAAATGCCAGATATTACCGCGCTCTTCCGGTGCTTTGACTGAGAATTTTGGCTCTCATATAGGCAAAGGGATGGGAGAGGATGTCAGGATCTCCCCTCGTTCATTCACTGAATGCCATGCACTCTATGGAAAGAATGCAAGGCTTTTTGTGAATGGACAGGGGAAGAGGAGGGGCAACTACACAACTTGGTTCCTGTACTGTATGAGAGCTGGAACTCTCAGTTGCAGCACCGGAAGAAGAGCTCTGTGAATAATATCCGGCATCAGTAAAGATGATATAGGATTTGTACAGAAACAAGCAGAGATCCATCAATACATTCTTAACATTAAAGGAGAACTATGGGGTCAATGTTTTTCCCCATAGTTCTCCTTAGGGTAACGGGAGGACACAAACTAGCGTCCTCCCGTTACCCTAAGCTCTGAGACGACGCACCTGGAGCGGATCCCGACTCAGAAGACGGGATCCGCCCAGCTGCATGAGTGACAGCTGGCTCTGCCTATCTAGAGGCAGAGCCAGCTGTACCCGCCCCCTCCCCCGTCCGTTCCGCCAGTCAGCGCTGGCAGATCAGAGCGGGGAGAGGGGAATCCAGCCCCTCCCCCTGTCACGGCAGAGAGCCGTGACAGGATCAAGAGGTGAGGGAACCCGGTATGTGTTCCCTCACTTCCCGATCTACTGAGCCGACCTGTGACAGTCTCATTGTCACAGGTCGGCTTAGAACTATGAGGTGAGTGGAAATCACTCATCTCATAGTTCTCCTTTAAATGTAACTTATATGAATTGTGCCGTTCCCAAAGAAAAAATATCCTGGAATTCAGCTTTAAAGACTGATCTCTGGAATAAGAAAAAACTGTCTCAATACAAGAAGTGTGTATTCAGAGGCGGCTCTCTAATTAGGCGAGTTAGGCGGTCGCCTAAGGCCTCGCGCTTACGAGGGCCTCGCGGCCGCCTAACTCACCAAAGAGCGCACACCATTCACACTATTGAAGGATCACGGAAAAGAAAACAGAGGGGGCGCCTTTCCTGGTGCAGATCAACTTTATTTTCAATAGTCAAAGATAAACCGAAAGATACTCACAGACATAGATAAAAGACAGCCATACAATGTGAGCTGACAGCAGATGGACATCCACTGAGGGGATCCAGTGTGCAAATGACGTTGACGCGTTTCCGGGGCAC